TTTTCTTTAGTGTACATCTTGCACGGAGGTTACTCTAATTCAAGTGGCGAGTTGCAGAAAATCAAACACTTTTAAGTGTTGAGTTAGTGTGAAATAACATCTTGGTGATTTATAACACGATTTATGGTGTTAAACAGTCAAACACAACAATTATCTGGAATAGTTGATACAAATTCGGTGTACCTTTTGGTGAAACATTGCAAGTTTTTTTTACAGTGTACATCCAGGGGCGTAGCTGGCCTAAAATAAAGTGCAAGTATAAGTCTTTTTATGCAGAAAATAATCATTTTTCGGTCATTTTCCAGGTATGCCATGCTTATGAAATTCACATTACTCCTTATTAACATGGTTGTTTTCAAATATAAAATAAGTTTTATAAAACAGGAATTTCAGTCGACAAGTCAACCGAAGCGTTTATCAATAGAAGGGCAATCAATGGACACATGACCAACCCGGGAACAGATAAGACACAAAAGAACAAACAAAAACATTCAATATTGAAAACTAAATACAGATAAAAAAAAACACGAACCCCCCAAAAAAAATGTGACGACCTCCAGTGCTCCGAAAGGGTAGAACGGATAATGGGAATACGAAATCAAACGGCGACTTTTAAGTCTTGACTTATAAGGGGACGACCATTTGATATTCTGGGGGGGGGCCAGGAGGATTTTTTTTGGATCGGTTATTTATTTTTGTAAACTAAGAGGACAGATTATTTATTTTCTGCACTGTTGATACAAGATTTTTCATTTTCATTAAAACAAGGGACTGATTATTTATTTTCATAACTATATTAATAATATTTGAAAACATACAATTTTTAAATTCATTTATTATTATAAATAAAACATGTACAGTCAAGTCATTAATGTACCATTTAATCAGAATTAATCATCATCCTCTGCGGAAATGAATCTTCTGAATTCCAAACTGCATATATATGTATTGCATACATACACGGTATTAGAGTTGGGCTGTGACTAGCCTCTTTTAAAGTATTGCCAAATATATATTTATGCTGAGCGGAGCGAGGCAAAAAAATTTGAAGGGTTTTGAAGCCGCTGAAGTCCCATAGAAACTATAGAACAAATGATGCAAAATCGTGCTTTCTGGGCGTTCCCAGACCCTTTCTTATTCTGAAAACGCAAGTTCTGTTTTAATAATTTTTTGACAATATTTTGGTCTCAAAGCAAAATGTATAGATTCAGCATAAGACTTAAGTTTTTATGGACAACATCGAAAGACCAATATGAAGAATAAAGTAAAAATGTAATTCACATAGTTAAGTATGTGGCTGGTGTTTTTTTTGTTTGTTTCGGCATGCCGAATTTAAATCTTTTATACCTGTAAATTATGTGGGGTTTTATTCAAATTAAGTTAAGAGGGGGCTGATTATCAGTGATAGAACTATGTCAAGTAATTTTTAATAACACATTTCAATTACAACTTGATGTAGCTCTTAACTGGGATACAATTTAAAGTAGTTAAGTTGTAAAATTGGCTAAAAAGTCTTAAATAAAATAAAACTCATGATCAAGTTGAAAACAAAATTACTAAATCACAAAAGGAATGCAACACTAAGAGAATACAGAAGGGCAATCAATGAACAAAAGACAAATTTAAAGAAACATTGATCCCGAAAAAACAGGTGCTATGTCCAAGGGAGAACAGAACTTGCTTCTTGCAAACACTCGCTGTGAAAACAATTTGGTATGAACACAAGCTTTTGGTTTTAAAATTTCCTACATAAAGGCATTTGCCTCAATGTAGTTACAGCCCTGTAATAAAAGTGAGGTAAGTGTTCCTGAGCCAATATACTTCAAGTTGAATGAAACCCATTTTCAGACATTTCAAGTATATTTAAATAATATTTATACCTTTATTATTAAAAGATTTGGGAAGTGTTTCCCGAATTTTTTTTTGAAAAAAGATGAATTTTATGAAGAATATGGTGCCACCTCATACTTTCTAATAGCATTTATAAAATGGCTTAAAGACCTGCCGAGTTATTCATTTTCAATACATTGTAAGTCAGGTTATTTATTTTCGAACTACCACAGAACAAACCATTTATTTTTGTGATTATCAAGGCTGAGTTATCTATTTTCAAAATCCTCCTGCCCCCCCCCCCCCAGAATATCAAATGGTCATCCCCTAAGTGAGGGATATAAATCTAAGATGTTTTCAAGGTTATTGTATTGAGCCTGTATTACTAAATGTTAATACTGCATGTAAGACTTAAAGTATAGTTAATATCCAAAGTCCATATATCTATTTTTTGCCAAGGCAAATGATCGCAGAACTCTCTCTGTGTCGATATTCATTTCTCTGTGAACATGTATGAGCGCCAACGAAGATAGTCTGTCCTATACCATGGTTGAACGGAGATAAGTTTTCAGTCGCCGTAATGCACTAAATGACCGTTCAGTAGTTGATGTAGTTACTGGCATTGTAACTAGGATTGACACGATTGCAAACTATTGAAGGATATAGTTCCTTTTTAGTCACTGCTAGAGACGACATCAGAGATTTGGGCTACTCTATAACATCTGGACCAGCGTCTCTGCCATCTCTTTACCTCAGAGTTGAAGGTTTCTTGATTGTCCGTCAAGTCGTGTCTAAATGTTTCGTATAGTTTATCTATACACTCTGCTGTCAAAGATTCCAAACGTGCAGGTATAAGGTTCTGGCCTTGAAAACCATCGGAGTTATCCAGTAAACGTCCTAGGCTGTGAGTTCCTCAATGAAATAGTCAAGAAAGGAGAAATACAAGGCTCGCTTCCAATACTGACTTGGAGTGTCAGCTGGATAGTTAGCCCGGTTGACCTGTCTTTCTACTCATTCGTAATTTAATTTCAGAATTATTTTTTTTGTGAAAAAAATGTGCAAGCAAATGATTTTTTGCGTAAAGGCAGCTACGCGCCTGACATCTTACGTGGATTTAACACTAATCTGAATGGTGAGTTGCACAAAACCAACAATTTTAAGTGTAAAGTGAATGTGAAATCACACCTTGGTGCTTGTGGTGTTTAGGGAACGACCATTTAACTTCAAAGGTGTTGGGGGGGGGGGGGGTTATGGTTTTTCCTAAAAAAAATATTCTGATCCCCAATTTGAGGAAAAAAAGTATTGTGGTCAAGCAGATGACAAAAAAAAATATTCTGAATCCATATTTTCCCCATACCTTAGGGAGCTACTGTTTGATTTTTATTGGGGGGGGGGGGGGGTGCTAGGATGGAAAATTTTGAAAAAAATAATTTGATCGATAGCGTCGACAAACTTTTAAAAAAATGTTCGTGCAAAATTTTCTGACGGACAAAAAACCATAAACCCCCCCTTGAAGTTAAATGGTTGCTCCCTTAACGCTCAAACTCACCTATTTTTTGGAAAAGTTGTTCTAAATTTGGTGTAACATTCCATCCTTTGTTTACAGTGAACCAGCCTGTTTGGAGTTCATGCGATTCCCCATGGTTTTATTTTTTTAACTCAATTTACATGTATATGTTCTGAATGGATTGCCGACCTTAATCCCTTAATCTATTACAGAACCTACCTATTGTATTTATTGTGAACTTGTTCTCGTCCTGAATATGCATGAAATATTTGCCACTGGACGTTAAGCAACCAACAATCAATCAATCAATCTGAATGGATTGAACTTCGGTAAACAACTGCTGTCTCCAATTTACCCATCCAATGTTTTGGATATCAAAGAAGAGGCAATTTCATCGAAATATGGTTGACATTTTTTATCAGTCAGTTAATTTCTATTAATTTCTATGTGGTTTGAAAGAATTTCATATATCAGGCCAACTTTAGAAGAGGTGCATGTGGGGGTCAAGCCTTGGGTTTTTTTGGGACTTGATTCTGCTCCTGTATGCATAGCAGTTAATAGGAGCATTCTCAAATGTGATTTTAAAGATCAGTCCATCTCACTGATCACAAAACATTCTTTTGTTTTTTTTTCAATATAAAGAATCAATCTGCTCTTGGGATTAGGAGTCCATCCATATTGAAAGAATTTTGAGATGAAGAATAGCAATGAAAGCACTGTTCCTTTCCTTTTTTTTTGTCAAGTTCTGGTATGGATTTGGTGTCAATGAATTTTAATCCACACTTTTTTTTTCATCAAATAAATAGATATAAGAAGATGTGGTATGAGTGCCAATGAGACAACTCTCCATCCAAGTCAAAATTTATAAAAGTAAACCATTATAGGTCAAAGTACGGTCTTCAACACGGAGCCTTGGCTCACACCGAACAGCAAGCTATAAAGGGCCCCAAAAATTACTAGTGTAAAACCATTCAAACGGGAAAACCAACGGTCTAATCTATATAAAAAACAACAAACGAGAAACACTTATGAACCACATCAACAAACGACAACTACTGAACATCAGATTCCTGACTTAGGACAGGTAGAAACAAGTGCAGCGGGTTTAAACGTTTTAATGGTACCAAACCTTCACCCTTATCTGAAACAATAGTGTAGCATCACAACATAGAAAGACACTATAAAATATCAATTGAATAAGTGTTTTACCTTCTTTTAAAGGAAAATCACAAAGTTAAAACCTGGAATAAATTCAAACTTGAGTGTACTCTAGTGCCATTTGAACAGAATTTGTTTCCCCATCTTTTCGGAAGCCTGAACTTCTACATAATTTTTTATTAATATTTGCACTATCCCATTTTCTATTAGGCAACTGGAATCTCTCATCTTCCTTTTGGTGCAGACCTATAGCCAGAATTTCAAAGGGGTTACCTGCCTTTAGTTACATCAAGGTTGGTCTCGGTAAATGGGTGTAGAATCATGAATTCTGGTAATTACCAGGTACAGCAGTTACAGTTTAAACAAAATCTCAACTTTAATAGTGTCAATGGTTTCAAAGGAGTAAGTGCTCCTATGAAAACTCCCCTGGCTACAGGTGTGTGGTGGATATTAAAATCATAGCCATAAAAAGAATTATGCATAAAAATAAATGAAACTAAAAAAATAAATGGCTATATTTTATTCACTCTGCAAAGTGTTGTTATGTACAATAAATGACAAATAGCTGCTGTAGTAAACATTGCACTTTAACCACAAGTAGTTATTTGATTGATTTGTAAAATAGTCAGAACAAAAACCTCATATGTTTTTTTTTATTTTTTTAACCAGTCTTGGACCAATATTTCAAGAGTGTAAAATAACTTTTGTAGTGAAATAACTATCCTCTGTAAAAAGGTAAAATTGACTTATTCTAGGAATTTGAATAATCAACAAGACAAAAGTTAACATTATTTTAAAGTACAATTTTCATTTCTTTTTCTTTTTAAACAATTTATTTATAAAAGGTTAGAAATACAAATTACAAGATATCAAAATCAGATGTACCATGTGTACATTTAGAAAATTCAATAAAAACTATCAGGCACTTTTGTTTAATCATTTCTAAAAATTATACAGTTATTACAAGTCCATAGATTATTATCGGTATCAATTTCACTGCACATGGTGCACATTTCGACAATTAATGTCTTTTCAGTATTGCCAAAATATTTGAAAATCCAAAATCTAATACAAATGTTGAAGAGCTAATTAAACCGCAAAAGTTCGAACGATAAAGCCAAATTGGGACATATTACCTTCAGCTTAATAATAATGTTTTAAAGATAAATTTTATGTTGTGACTTTGTAAACTATTTCTTACCCATTAGAATGTGTCTTTCTGATAGTTGTATCATTATATTTTTTCAAATGAGTAAATTGTGTCCGGATAAAAAAAGTTGAGTTTTGACAGGTTTGATAGATTTCAAAGTATTAAAATAATTAAATATTTAAATTTAATTTGTTTAAAACCACAGGATGAAGAAAAAAGAACATGAAAAGAGTCCAAAACAATAATGTTAACTGAAGGCTTAAGCAGCTGAGTACATAATGTTTGAGTGAAATGAATTCAATTTTCTGTGTTTTATATTGAGTACAATAACTACAGAGACTTTAAAAAGTGAGTGTAATATAAGTTACAACCTTAATACTACATGTATATAAAGTTAAATGGCTAAGAAAACATAAATCAAAACACTTCAAAGTCTACAACAGTGCTATAAACTGAACTTTTGTTAGTACAACTTTTTCATTATTTTTTAAAAATTTGGCATCAAATATACATGTAAAAAAATGAAAACAACACTTTATAAATTTCATGTGTCCGAAGCACTTTTCTGGATTTACCTTCATCAGGAATTCTCAAAGCCGAATATTTGAAAGCCAATGATTTAAAAGAAACAAAACAGTTGAAGAGCTATATATGACCAAAAAGAACCAAAAAATTATAGCCAAATAAGCCATTAGTAAAAGGTTGTTGTTTTCTTTTTTGCATCCATAATTTCCAGAAAAAAATTCTTTTTTGCATCCATAATTTTCAGAAAAAAATTTAAATTACTTAATATGTCACAAATCCTGAAATTTTAACAATGTTATAAAGATAGGAAGCAATAAAAAAAATTTAAACATTAAAGATTATTATGTTAAATATATATAAAATACATTACATGTAGGAAAACTTTGCACCAAGAATATTTACAGATGTTTTTTTGGCAGCTCAAATTCAGTGGAATCAAAAAATTTTTGAAGCTCCATAGTAAAATTTATGAAATATACATCATCTCACAAAAATTCAACGTATAACAGGCAAAAGAATCCTATTGAATTGAGCTGCCAACAGTTAACAATGATAATAAAATAGGTACACCAATTATTATTAAATAAAAAAACGCATCGTAAAATATATAGATGTATGATGCTGATGTTCTAAATAACTTTATGCAAAATCTACTAAAGAGTTTCAAAGAAAATAATTTACATCCTGGTATTTTAAACAGTCGTTTTCACCGGTACGTATAAATAAACAGGTGCAATTTTACTCTGTTGTTCCTTATATTGTGCAGTTACTAATACTTTTTCACTCAAACTAACCTATGTTAAAACTACTAAAGTAAACAATTAATAAAAAGCAAAAACAAACAAGAAAACAACTAAAAATTACCAACTCTCATTTTCTATTATGCATTAAATTCATAATTTCCACTTTTGATTTGAAAACATTTATTTCACCGAACACAAATAATTAAAAGAATATTTTATTTGCAGTTACACAATTTTGCAATAAGTTTAATTGAAAATGTAATAAGAATATAATGAATATTTTATGATTTTCTTATTGCTTCTTTCCTCAAATCCTTAACAATGCATGGCAAGTAGTTTAATGAACCAGTAAATTTTAACCTTATATAGTAATTTTGTGAATTGAAATATACTAATCCTTCCACAGTTTTAAAAGCTGTAGTTAGCTTCAAAATTTTTTTTGATAAGATAAGGATTAACCAGACAATTCTCTTGATGGAAATAGAAAAGAAAGGGATTGAGAAGTACTTGAATGAAAAATCTCTTTAAAAAACTAGAATATAACTAATAAATCAAATCGGGTAAGGATAGGAATGGATTTCTAATCTTTGATTTGACAGTTAGAATATTAAATCATTATTAAAACAATTACATATAAATAATAGCAACAACAAAAATAATATGGCACTCAAATGTTATTTACACTGAAAAAAAATTATGGCACTAAATTATATATTTTCTTTTTTCCTTATGATTCATATTAAAACAATTACATCTTCTATTCTTTTGCAATTTTTTACTTTACTGCTTATAAATATATGCATTGTTTTTATATAGAGCATTTATCAAGGTGTACAAAAAAAAATCTTTTTCTGCAATAACACTAAATGCAATGATTTTATTAAATGATCTACATACACAAAAAAAAAAGAGACTGATCTAACAAGTCTCTTTAATATACCAACTATATATATACCTCAAATAGTCACTTTTCATTCTCATATCATTCAAATATATAAGCCGAAACAAAATGATATTTGTTTATACTGAAACATTTGTACTACAATGATATAATGCATGTGTCAGGTTATTTTTGTCTTCAGATTTAATCAGACACAACATAATATAATGTTGTATGAATAATATTTTAGAATATAATATAATGATCTATTCGTCTAAATTTATGCTTGCATATCTTCTGAAGTATTGCAGTAAGCTTATATTTCATAAAATTACAGTTGATACCTTTCACATTTTTTTATGTTGCTTTCATACATTTTCAATTATTAAGCAATAACAATAAAGACTTTCTATTAATTTCTTCCATTCTGCAGTATGAAATGCAGAGATTTGATTGAAAATTTTTTACAGATAGACAGAAATAATTATCACACTTCTAGTTTGTACTAATATATGAAAAAGATTTTATTAATAAAATGCTGAATTTAGGATCTCTGACTTTCCAAACAATTCTTTCAATAATAAAAACACTTCCTTAAGTATCACGCTTTTTGTAATTTTTTTGGGCATAATTAATTCATATTATGCATTTTCACAGATATATAATGAAAATAACCAACAAACAAAGGTAATTTACAATTAATGGAAATCACCATTTTTGTGAAAGCAGCAATTGATTGACAATTAAAATTAACAAAATATTTTCATTCAATGAATTGCAGTTGTATACTAGTAAGTATTTTTCTATTCCTGAAATTTTTTATCAAATCAACTGCAACATTCCAAATTGCTCCCATAAAGATGATAATCTCCCTTAAACTATGTGAGGAATCCTCAGATGCAATTGGTAACTGAAGATATACATATATTCTCAGTAAGATATTAAAATAACTACAAGTCTAAGAAATCAATAGCCAAAATCATCTATGATAAAGTAAAATTAAAAATAAAAGCAAATTAACCAATCTGGACTTCAGCACACTTTCCTAACAAGTACTGAATAATTTGAAGAATACATGAAAGGGTGGTTTAAACGCCACGCTTCATAATTTTTGGTTTTAACTAATTTAAAAAAAAATTGAAGTCCAGACCTCACATGGACCTTCACCCCAAAGATATCTCCCCAATGACCCCCTTTCAAAAATTTTGGATTTTTATTGTCCTTTAAAGCACTGTATTAATGGAAATACTACATTTCTGTCATTTAGATCAAATACAATCCAAAGTAAGATGTGGCCTTATGAATGCCACCACTGTTTGGATCTTTTGTAGCCAGATATCTAGGATTATTAACAAAGACCTTGACCTTATCTGTGGTTTCCAAATAAAAGTTTCCGAAAACAAAGGAGTTCCAGGTTGTCTCTCCAGTGGTAGGACACATAGTAGAATACCCTTCCAAAAACTTTTCTCCAATATTGTACTCCTTCCTGTATTTCAAAACCAAATGACGGATAACACTATCTGCTGGTGTGATATTTGTTGAGTTATCCTTTGGGAATTCAAATACCAGATTGCTGTAGATGTGATAATACCCTGCTCTCTGGACCTGGTAAGTTCCTTCAGTGCTGTCATACAAAATTCTCTCCAAAAATGTTTCTGGATCAAGATTACTTGGTGGATAGTCCCATCTAATTAAGTACAAGTTGTCAAGAACTGTAAATAGAAACAAGAATTAAAATAAGGGTCAAAGTCGAAAATGCCCACGTTGCAATAATTGTGACTAATCAATGTAAAATGTTTACAAAAAAGTTGCAGTTACATGAAGGGGGGAACAGAATTTTTTTTAATTTCTAACAAGCTGCAGAACAGCAGGAATAAACAGCTGCGCCATGAGCATGATACGCCAATCGCTTTTTTAAATAATTAAGTTCAATAACTTCTCAATGTCATTTCAGAAATTTATGAAAAACTAAAGGGAAGTTATCTTTATAGATATAAACCAGTCACCAAAGTTTCATGAAAACTGCTCAAAGCACTTTAAAGATATTGTCGGAAAACTGGAAAATCACCCCCTTTTTATGAATAAAATCCTATAACTCGGAAACGTAAAATCTAAAATTTATAAAAATCGAAATAGAGCTAATGTCAACAGATATAAACAATTCACCAAACTTTCATGAAAACTGCTGAAAGCATTTTTGAGTTATTGTTTGAAAACTGGAAAATCCCCCTTTTTTTAATGAATAAAACCCCACAACTCGGAAACGTAAAATCTAAAATTTATAAAAATCAAAAGGGAGCTCATGTCAATAGATATAAACAATTCACCAAAGTTTCTTGCAAATTGGTGAAAGTGTTTTTGAGTTATTGTCCGAAAACTGGAAAATCCACCTTTTTTAATGAATAAAACTCTATAACTCGGAAACTTAAAATCTAAAATTTATAAAAAAACAAAAGGGAGCTCACGTCAATCGATATAAACAATTCACAAAAGTTTCATGCAGATCGGTTTACGCGTTTTTGAGTTATTGTCCGACATGTTGACGACGGAAGGACAACGGTATACCATAATACGTCCTGTAAACGAGCATATAAAAATGAAGGAACTCAATCAACTTCATAAAAGCAGTAGTACAACTTCAAGATGTATGTGTGAAGTTTGAGGGATCTGAGTTGAAAACACTAGGAGGAGTTGATTACAAAAATTTGGTACCCTGTTATGTAATTTTTGCTGGAAAGTAGAAATACCAAAGTCCAGAAAAATGTGAAAAAATCTTCAAACAATTCCATTAATAGCAGGTGCACAACATCAACATGTGTACAATCTTTGTGTGAAGTCTTAGGGATCTTGGTTAAAAACATTAGGAGAAATTGAAAACTTCATATATATTGCTGAAAAATGACTAAGTTCCAAAGTAGGAGAAAATGAGAAAAAAATTCCTCAACAATTCCATAATAGCATGTGCACAACTTCAACATATGTAGGTTCAGGGATCTTGGTTGAAAACTGTTGATTACACGAACAGGTTACCCACTTTTCCCTGCTCTCTCGACCACTGCCCAACATCATCATACTATAAGCTGGTTTTGACTTTGTCCAACCTGGCCATATATAAGATATCTAAATTTTCTAGAAGTCATGTTCCAGTAACATTTAAGAAAAATTTATGGCAGCCTAGGGTTAACTCAAGATTTTACCATGGGTTGGCCATATTCTAATCAAAATTTTGCACAAAGAGGACATAGGTGAGGTAAAGTAATCTTGGATCAATGTAACATTTTTATGCAACGTACCAGTTCTAAATATAAAAAAATCTCCATAAATCTTGGAGAGAAATCTAGGAGCACTTTACAATCAAAAGAAGGCATCATTTAAGCATGTTACACAATAAATTTCTGTAAATTCATTCAAATAATTTGAACATTAAGATATCTTTAGACAACTGTCAGGAGCAAAAAAAAATATTCCTTGTATTTTCTGAGAAGTTATATTTTTTATAGAATATTTAAACTGTACAAGCAAGCTTCCTCATCAAATATTTGAATTTGATTTGTGTTGATTTCAACACTATTAACCCTTCTTGTCCCTTTCATTGAATATACATACTTCCTGCCTGTGCCTGGCTAACACTTTTAACCTGACCATATCCCCTTGGATGTTCTGCTGTTGTAGAATTCAGACACAATTGGAATAGAGGTTCTGCAATAAAAATTAGGTATTTTCATGTAAAGGTAAAAGAAATAAAATACAATAACAAGTTAACAAATAAACCAAAACAAACACGCACACAAATTTATATTGAATTATCTTTGTAATAACATTGTTGGTTGCTCAATGTCAAATGGAAAATATTTAAGGATAAGGACAAGTAAACAATTTGCCAATTCATATAATCTAAAAGAAGGTGAAAAATGAGATGCAACACCTAATTTTGACTGCAATTGTAAAATAAGTGCATATCTTGTAGGGTCAGAAATACATGTATACCCACCTATACAGTATACAACGTATTTTGGCTTTAGTTCAACAGGTAATTTACTTGCCCGTTTTCCAAATTTGCAAAAAAGTATCTTTTTGCCAAGATGGGATGTGAATAACTTTGGATGGCATTAAGTACTAGAGAACTTGAATATTTGGGCAGAAGATCAAGTACTCGCATTTCATACTCAGGTGTCTCAAATACTTAAATTGTTTTTGACATTTCCCTCCTCATCAATATGAGTTTACATGTTTTAATAGTTTGGTATTTTCTCTTAATCGTAACATAAAAAGTGTTCACAGTTATTCTAAATAGCAAGAACATCAGTTCATTTAAACTGCATTAAAATGCCTTGTTTGCACCTGTCCTAAGTCAGGAACCTGTTGTTCAGTGGTTGTCGTTTGTTGATGTGGTTCATAAGTGTTTCTCGTTTTTTATATAGATTATATAATTAGACCGTTGGTTTTCCTGTTTGAATTGTTTTACACTAGTCATTTTGGGGCCTTTTATAGCTTGCTGTTTGGTGTGAGCAAGAGCTCCGTGTTGAAGGCCGTACTTTGACCTATAATTGTTTACTTTTTACACATTGTGACTTGGATGGAGAGCTGTCTCATTTGCACTCATACCACATCTTCTTATTTCTTCTCATTGGCCTCCTTTGTGAATCAATCCCAACTAAACAGAAACATGTTGGCTGGACGAGTTTAAATTGAAAAAAAAAATATGTTATTGAGTAGGACAATTCAGATTCTGTTAAAGGTTGTGTGATAAAACCACAAATAATCTATAACTATCACTTATTAAAAGATGCTTGTTTGCCGTATCTGTGACACCCCTTCCTTCCCTGAATATTTCCTTATCGGGTGAACTCCTTAAAACTTAAAATAAAGAATTAATTCTGATTTGATGTAGTGGACCAAATAGTCTCCTTGTGATGAGCCTCATTTAGCTGATTACTAGACACTTTTACAAACTCTGTAGGTATTTGTACAGCAATTGACCGTTCATGTGTCATTATCTTTTATAAAAACTTTTGATTGTGGATGTATTAAATTGATCAATTATTTCAAGTGAGCAGGAAAAAACTGACTGATTGATTGTCAGTGTATAAGGCCACTTTCAGCACTATTGGTAATATCTTGGCGCCTAGTTTTTTTTGGTGGAGGAAGCTGGAGTGCCCGAAGAAAACCATGACCTTCAACAGGAAAACTGGTAATCCTAGTCAATTAAAAGTCTAACACACCTGCCATGTATGGGGTTAGAACTTGCAATCTCAGTGTTGACAGGCTAATGAAAACAGATACTGTACTGTTGAACTATTTAGACCACTCTGCCACCAAGGCCTCAAAAGAAAAGAGACAAGATCTATAACTTAATTAATTAAAGGGGATGGTAGTATTTTGTGGAATCAAATCAAGGATCAGGTATCAAGGATGATAGACAAGGATTCAGTACTCTTTGCAGTTGTTTGAAAACTAATCTATCTACTTACTTTCCCTGTATTCCTCATTCAATGTCTTTTCAACTTTCTGAAAAATATTTTGCAGTTGTCAATTGTTAAAGGAACTAAGTAAAGAGATATAATTGATCTCTAGATATCTGCATATACTTTTATAAATTTTGACTTGGATGGAGAGTTGTCTCATTGGCACTCATACCACATCTTCTTATATCTATATACTAATAATAGGTTGAACATTTTTATCAGCTGTAACCATTTATCTGTTAAGTAATTCCTTGTATCTGGTAATTTCAATCTTAACTATATTGTGAACTATATAAAAATATCATTTTAAATATACCAGGACTTGCGGTCATAAAAATTTCGAGCACAATTTTCCTACTCAGACTCAGAAATCAACCCATCAAAATACTGGATTTGGTGTTTCGAGCACAATTTTTGTACTCCAGTTTTATGACGGAGAGCCCAGGTATTGAAATCAATATTCTCAGGTGGAAACAGCTTGATTCAGGTAACTTTTTAATTAGAATTATTTAAGTTTGTATTCAGCTGTATTTGTTTTTAACACTTTAATTTTCTGACTAATATCAAATTGAAGCTTGCAAGAAAATTAATGAATACATGAAAAACATATACTAATACAGTATATCAGGAGATTTTCAGTCAGGTTTTGTATGCTATCTGCTCAATAAAATGACAAGTGAATGTTTTGCAATTTGAAAACCATTCCAAGAATACTACTACATGAATATCAGTGATTTTTTTACGCAGTGGAAAATTTGAGCAATTATCTATATAGAACTGAAAATTTCTGCAAAAATTAACTGATAAGATCCTAAATGGTTTAAAGTGTAAAAAGTGGTTTAACATTTTAAAACTTTTCTTAAAACCAATAGTTATAATAACTTATTATTACCTTTTTCAACCTATCTTTCATGTACATTTCTTTTTTGGCACAACACTGGCCACTTTCAGCATCAGGAAAATACTTTGCTTCATCCACTTTAGCAACATATTCGCATTTCATGCAATACATTTTTGGTGCAGGATCAAAATCAACAATCTCCGTCTGTGCAAAATTCAACCACATAAGGGTTACGATAAATATAACCAGTATCAAAACAATATCAACCACAACACAAGTAGTAAATAATTTATTTTCTTTTACTGATTTCATTCCATCATCAAATAGCTGCTTGGGTCTGCTTGTTGCAGTAACTTGACTTTCAGCTTTTGGTTGCTCATCTCCTTTCGGTAACAATTCAACCTCCTCATGTTTAACTTCATCACCTTCTCCTTCTCGTTTGTAAATAACTTTGTCTGTATCTATTCCACTTCCACTTGCCATCCTTGTGTTTGGAACTTATAACATCTGAAGACTGATATAGAAACATTACAAGTCCATGATCACAAATTTTGTCTATTTTCTAATAAATATGATGTAAAATCAGAATTATTACATCAACTGGTCAAATTAATTTGAATGTAGACAAGAGGCTCCCAAGAGCTTGAATTGCTATCATATATATGCCATTTTTATGTTTCTCTTTTATTGCAACCAGGTATGTTTGCTTATTTGTAAATTTTATCAAGTGGCATTCTTGTAGATATTGTATTGATAATAATTTTTTACTGTAAAGTACCTATCTATTGTTTTAAAACAGTATAAGGAGTTGGTTGACAAGTTCAGTCAGGTTGACTTATTTGTAGATCTTATTATAAATGCTGAACAGTTTTGCTATTTACTGTTCCTCTCTAGCTGTTATAGTTTTGCAAATTACGCAAAAAAGGTTAAAAATCAACTTTCAAGGACAGGGGTTGATTGACAAATTCAAACCATGCTTTGTGATTTGCAGATCTTTATTTTGCTGAAAATTTTTGCTACAAACAATATCCCTCTATTATAATAGTTTCTGCAAAATGGTAAAACACATCTTTAAAGGGAAATGACTCCTGAAATGAGTTAATTGACAAATTTGTCCATGTTGATTTATTAGTAGGCCATTATTTTCTGAATGTTTTGAAAATTTCATAGGAGCTAGACCTTGAGCTGTTGGTAATTTTTACCCATATAAGTTTGGCTCTAACGATGTTTAGTGTTAAAAGACAAAAGCTGAATTTTTTTGTTAAAATTGACATTTTAAGGGCAATACCTTAATAAAATGCTCTGCTGGGCGCAGCTTGATACGACCGCAGAGGTCGAACCCTGAACAGTTGGGGCAAGTATGGACACAACATTCAAGCTTGATACAGCTCTGAATTTGGATTGTGATTAAATATTTGACACAGCATAGGTTTCTGACACAGAATGAATGTGGTCTAAGAACTTAAAATTTTTTAATTTACCTATTATGGTCCAATATCCAAAATCTAAATACATGGTTAGATTCAGCATATCAAAGAATCCAAAGAATTCAATTTTTGATGAAATCAAACAAAGTTTAATTTTGGACCCTTTTGACCTCAATGTGGACCAATTTGATAACGGGGCCCAAAAATCAAAATACATGGTTAGATTCAGCATATCAAAGAACCCCATATATTCAATTTTTGTTGAAATCAAACAAAGTTTAATTTTGGACCCCAACTTGGACAAACTTGAAAACTGGGCCCATAATCAAAAATCTAAACACATGTTTAGATTCAGCATATCAAAGAACCCCAAGAATTCAATTTTTGTTAAAATCAAACTAAGTTTAATTTTGGACCCTTTGGACCTTAATGTAGAGCAATTTAAAAAACAGGACCCAAAATTAAAAATCTAAATACACGGTTAGATTTGGAATATCAAAGAACCCCAATAATTCAATTTTAGATGAAATCAAACAAAGTTTAATATTGGACCCTTTTGACCTCAATATGAACTAATTTGATAGCGGGGCCCACAAATAAAAAATCTAAATACATGGTTAGATTCAGCATATCAAAGAACCCCATATATTCAATTTTTGTTGAAATCAAAAAAAGTTTAATTTTGGACCCCAACTTGAACCAACTTGAAAACTGGGCCCATAATCAATAAAATGCTTCGCTGGGGCGCAGCTTGATACGACCGCAGAGGTCGAACCCTGAACAGTTGGGGCAAGTATGGACACAACATTCAAGCTTGATACAGCTCTGAATTTGGATTGTTATTAAATATTTGACACAGCATAGGTTTCTGACACAGAAAGAATGTGGTCTAAGAACTTGAATTTTTTTAATTTACCTATTATGGTCCAATGTCCAAAATCAAAATACATGGTTAGATTCAGCATATCAAAGAACCCCATATATTCAATTTTTGTTAAAATCAAACAAAGTTTAATTTTGGACCCCAACTTGGACAAACTTGAAAACTGGGCCCATAATCAAAAATCTAAACACATGTTTAGATTCAGCATATCAAAGAACCCCAAGAATTCAATTTTTGTTAAAATCAAACTAAGTTTAATTTTGGACCCTTTGGACCTTAATGTAGACCAATTTAAAAAAACGGGACCCAAAATTAAAAATCTAAATACACGGTTAGATTTGGCATATCAAAGAACCCCAATAATTCAATTTTTGATGAAATCAAACAAAGTTTAATTTTGGACCCTTTTGACCTCAATATGAACTAATTTGATAGCGGGGCCCACAAATAAAAAATCTAAATACATGGTTAGATTCAGCATATCAAAGAACCCCATATATTCAATTTTTGTTGAAATCAAAAAAAGTTTAATTTTGGACCCCAACTTGAACCAACTTGAAAACTGGGCCCATAATCAATAAAATGCTTCGCTGGGGCGCAGCTTGATACGACCGCAGAGGTCGAACCCTGAACAGTTGGGGCAAGTATGGACACAACATTCAAGCTTGATACAGCTCTGAATTTGGATTGTTATTAAATATTTGACACAGCATAGGTTTCTGACACAGAAAGAATGTGGTCTAAGAACTTGAATTTTTTTAATTTACCTATTATGGTCCAATGTCCAAAATCAAAATACATGGTTAGATTCAGCATATCAAAGAACCCCATATATTCAATTTTTGTTAAAATCAAACAAAGTTTAATTTTGGACCCCAACTTGGACAAACTTGAAAACTGGGCCCATAATCAAAAATCTAAACACATGTTTAGATTCAGCATATCAAAGAACCCCAAGAATTCAATTTTTGTTAAAATCAAACTAAGTTTAATTTTGGACCCTTTGGACCTTAATGTAGAGCAATTTAAAAAACAGGACCCAAAATTAAAAATCTAAATACACGGTTAGATTTGGAATATCAAAGAACCCCAATAATTCAATTTTAGATGAAATCAAACAAAGTTTAATATTGGACCCTTTTGACCTCAATATGAACCAATTTGATAACGGGGTCCACAAATAAAAAATCTAAATACATGGTTACATTCAGCATATCAAAGAACCCCATATATTCAATTTTTGTTGAAATCAAACAAAGTTTAATTTTGGACCCCAATTTGGACCAACTTGAAAACTGGGCCAAAAATCTAAAATCTAAATACATGTTTAGATTCAGCATATCAAAGAACCTCATATATTCAATTTTTGCTAAAATCAAACAAAGTTAAATTTTGGACCCTTTGGACCTTAATGTAGACCAATTTGAAAACTGGACCCAAAATTAAAAATCTAAATACACTGTTAGATTCGGCATAACAAATAAATAAATGTGATCAAAGATACTGTGCAATTAAAGATTACTTCTTGAAATTTTTCAATATTTGAAATTTGAAAAAAAAAAATATTTGAAGAATAATTCTTTTTAATTTCTGAAATCTGAAATGAGAAAAAATTGACCCCCCACAATTTCTTTTTATCCCCCCCCCCCTCTTTTTTCCCCCAAAAAATTCTTTCCCTCAAGATATGGTCATAATCTCAATTCAAATTTCCAATGGAGTTGGCATCCATAAATACCCATTTAAATTTACCATAGTGCTAACTTAATCTATTTTATAATAGAATTAAAAATATAGTGTCAAATCTTTCATATGGATTTTTTTTGTAAAAAAAAAAGATGCAACATTTGCAGATATTTTTACTGGTCTTCCTTTATAAATATGCATTTCTTTAAACATAATTTAAAAGCAGTGTAAGGGAAGTAACAAAAAAGTTGTATTTGGATTACCTCCCTTACACTGTTTTAAATTATCTTTATTGTTCATTAACCATTACTTTATACATAATTTAAAAGCAGTGTAAGGGAGATAATTTCAATGATGTATTTGATTTATCTCCCTTACACTGCTTTAAATTATGTTTTGTACTAAAGTGTTTGTCCATTAACCAGGACAACCTTGTTTTTCCCCCTTTTTTGCCCCTAATTCCTAAACGGTTTGAGCCATAACCCCCCAAAGCAAATCCTAACCATCCCTTTGTGGTATGGAAACTTGTAGTATAATTTCAGAGAGATCCATACACCGTTCCACAGTTATTGTCTGGAAACTAGAAAATGCTTATTTTTTGCCCCTTTTTGGCCCCTTATTCCTTAACTGTTGGAACCATAACCCCCAAAATCAATCCCAACCTTCCTTTTGTGGTATTTAACCTTATGGTCAAATTTCTAAAAGATCCATTCACTTAAACTAAAGTTAGAGTGCGAAAACCAATGTGTCTTCGGACGACTACACCGGACGACGCCAACGTCATACCAATATACGACCACAAAATTTTTTTGCGGTCGTATAAAAATCTAATCACATGTTTAGATTCATCATATCAAAGAACCCCAAGAATTCAATTTTTGTTAAAATCAAACTAAGTTAAATTTTGGACCCTTTGGACCTTAATGTAGACCAATTTGAAAACTGGACCCAAAATTAAAAATCTAAATACAGGGTTAGATTTGGCATATCAAAGAAGCCCAATAATTCAATTTTTGATGAAATCAAACTTAAGTTTAATTTTGGACCCTTTGGACCTTAATGTAGACCAATTTAAAAAACAGGACCCAAAATTAAAAATCTAAATACAGGGTTAGATTTGGCATATCAAAGAAGCCCAATAATTCAATTTTTGATGAAATCAAACGAAGTTTAATTTTGGACCCTTTTGACCTCAATATGAACCAATTTACTAGCGGGGCCCACAAATAAAAAATCTAAATACATGGTTAGATTCAGCATATCAAAGAACCCCATACATTCAATTTTTGTTGAAATCAAACAAAGTTTAATTTTGGACCCCAACTTGGACCAACTTGAAAACCGGGCCAAAAATCAAAAATCTAAATACATGTTTAGATTCAGCATATCAAAGAACCCCATATATATTTAATTTTTGTTAAAATCAAAGTTTAATTTTGGACCCTTTGGACCTTAATGTAGACCAATTTGAAAACTGGACCCAAAATTAAAAATCTAAATACACGGTTAGATTCGGCATAA